ATTTTGTAAGTGTATTTGGTGTGCTGGACAAAGTATTAATGCAGTCAGTGAGTAAATTAATGCATGAAAAGAATAATAAATCTGGCCTAAATGTGGAAACAAAAACTATTCATCCAAGTCATTTAACTGAGTATTTATCATCAGTTTTGGAGACTGTTCCAAATATACTGTACTCTGAAAGATAACAGAACACATAATTCTGGTACCTAAATACAAAACTTTTAAACTTATGTGGTAGACAGAATTTTTCTTCAACAACTTCTTATTTTTAATCTCAGATATCTACTTTGTTATGAATATCTCCATAAAGGTTTGCCACATCTGAGCTGTGGTTCCAGGTCTGGGCTATTCAGTATAACAGAGATGGACTTCAGTACCCACAGACCCCAAATCCCACTCTGCTGCAACACAGGACAGTAAACAAAGCTTACATCATACATATCCCAAACAACAGAGTCATTGCCTTAAAAAATATTGCCAGCTGAGACATCTGCAGCAGAAAGATGGTACTTCAGCCCAGGACTGTCTGGTGTACATCAGCAAATCTGATCTTTACAGGAAGACCCCTCACCCTAAAATCTGAAGTGATAAAGACAACAGAAACTAAATCACAGCTGCTCTTAAAGTAACCTGACCAAGTCTCATGATGTAAATTCTCTTAGTTCCCATCTGGTGGTTAGAAGAGAATCTTTAAACAATCCATTGCAAGATCAGCATTGTGAAACCTGACCTCTGCTAAATCCAAATTCCAGTAATCAATGTGGTTAGGTAGGTGTGTATTTCATTTCAAAGTAGAATTTTTCTACCTGGAAATATTTTTCCCCACTCAAATCACCAGGCTAGAAGGTTCAACAAAGAAGCAGATTGAAGCTTTCTCTCTCCCAAAAGAGGGACAATCCCCAAAGCTTTGCTACAAAATAATTTCCTGAACAAATATTCTGTGACACATGCCAGTAAGTTACACCTCTACAAAACAACTGGGCCTTTGTGAAAGGTTCTGTTAATACAAAAGAAGATAGTGCTTGAAAGTCATTCTTTAACATGCTATGTTATCTTACCTATGACAAGCCACAATAAAAAGAGAAGCCAGGAAGATGTAGTAGCAAAGACCAGATTAGCCTCTATATGAACTTATTAGGAGATGCAGCTTTCGCTGAGGCTTGAATATAGCACCAATGAAAATATGCTCAAATTTCCCCCGTTAAAAGCATAATATATTCATTTTAATCTCTGCTTATTTTTAACTGTAATGTATGCTTTTGCAAAAACAATATCATACTGAGGGAGATGACAAACTTTGCATTGTTTTTATGAACCAGTGAAGAGCAGGAGATTTCTGCAGTCTAGACACACACACAAGCTCCAAAGCTGAAAGCAGAACCACATCTTACTGTTCTAGCTACTTACTGTACAGTGAGATACAGCCCCTGACACAAAGATTGTACAATCAAAACCAATTAAAAACTAGAGAAAAGGAGGATGAAGAGATGGTAGAGTCGTTGGAGCACACACGTCCCATTCTTGTGAGCACTGAAGCGTCGTCAGTGGGGCTTTTGTTTCAACTAAAAATGCAAAATTTATAGAGATGGCCCCAGTGTGAAAAGTGATGTCCCTGCAGCATCAAAGAAAGGAGAAGAATCATGGTAGGTGAAGAGAAGGAAAGGATGCTAAGAGGAAAAGAATAAAGGTAAACATGTATCATTAGGAAGAAAATGAGACTTTACAAAGAGGAAGATGTTACCCTGAGGTGCAAGAACAAGTGTCCAGAAAACAGATTATGAAAACAACAATGAAAAAGAGATAACAAGAGTCTGGTGGGACACAATGGTCTTGCTAGGAAAGCTGGTGTTAGCTTCGTAACATGTAAATATCAGAGGGTTAAAAAGTCTCCCTTTCAGGTAAAACAATTTCCCTATATATCTTCAAGAAGGGAAACTATGGAAACTCATTAACGCCTGAAGTTTGTTCTAACTCACTGTCACCCCATACTCTTGAAATTATAGATAATTTAGGATAATATATCTCTTTCACATTATCTGGATTATGAACTATAGTCATTAAAAGCTGTTTCCTCTTTCACATGTCACTATCCCAGGACTGTTCCTCACTGGTTTGTTGTTGGTTTCATGTCAGTTTTCATATAACTCCCTTTCCTTTACCCATTTCCAAGCCTCATTTTAATGAATCTCCCTAAAAAGCTCATAAAACATTAAAGCAATAGTATCAAACACTAATTTTCAGTGGAGTTGGGCTAGATAGTAATCGTACTCTGCTGTCAGTAATAAGGAGACTTAGCTTGAGGCAAAAAAAATTAACACCGACCTCATTCAAAGAACTTCAAATATTTGAAATAAAGTTGAACTCTGCATATAGATATATGTTTAACAGTATTTGATACAGCCTTAGAGTAAAAAAACTAACTTCAAGAGAGGGAACTAGGCTATACTGCCTTCCTGTGCAATCTGTCTGCCTGTGTTTAACAAGTCTGAAAAGCTTCAGTAAGTCAGATGCCCCAATTTATTTGCTTAATGAGAGGAATATTACATCCCCATATTGCTGAGGTCACTTTTAGGATCGTTACTATGTATGAAGAGGCTCACAACCCACCAGCAGAAAAAATCAGGAAGTAATTATAGAATTATTGTTGGTTTTTATCAAAACATGAGAAAAGCAAGCATTTCCCTGTGTTTGGTAAACTTTCATGTCATAAAATCTCTGAGGCTGGCACACTGGAAAGTAAGCACTTCACTTACAAGCAGATAGAACATGTGATCTTGTAAAATAATAATAGAGATGTAAGATTTGTTTAGAAGGCACAGACATATTGCCATGAAAGTGTGATTTATTTATTTTTTACTTACAGCAACAGCTTTGTGAAACAAAAGGAGAACAAAGCCATCATGTCAAACAATGTTTGTAGCAGACCTTGTGAAAGACTGGAAGGGAACTTCCTGCTATCTGTAGGTAACTTAAATGTCTCCAACTGCAACTGGTTTATGCTGGATTTTTTTTTTTCCTTGCATGCATTAAGTTATTGTGTTTTGTTTTTTTTAATAACGAATACTCTGATGAATATGAATGAATACTATGCTGAAAAAACACTGATTAGTTGTGAAAGAAAAAAAGGGAAGACATATACAGTGCATTGCTATATGTGCATTGAAATACTTCTACCCTGGTCAAGACTTGCATCTCTGGGTGGAGGAAGCAGTCAGGCATTTAGTAAATGTCATATAAACATAACATGAAAAATGAAGTGAGCCATATGCTACACCAAAATGAGGATCAGTGCATGTAACTACTTCCAAAATCAGCTTCCTTTCCTTGACAACAGTATAATAAAAAATACTACTTTCCAAAATAATTTTCAAGGAGAATATAGAGATTGGCAGTTAAAACTGTCAGTGTTCTTCGAACATTCCCTCAAAACCTCAGGTCATTTCCCCCTATGCTAATGTTTTTGCAAGAAAGACAACTTGGTCTTTTTCACTGAAAAGGTTAATGGAGTAAGTAACCTGCAGGTAACCAACATTTGCTGGAATTGTTCTTTTTTTTTCTTTTGTTTTCCTTTTCTTTTGGGAGCAAGGGAGGGGGCAGAGGGACAGGTGGTGATGCGGAGAGGAGGAGTGGAGCAGGGCAGAGGCTTGAGAAGTATATGTCCATATTGATTAGCTGAGTTTTTAATGCAGGATACAGTGCTATGAATTGTATTTCCAATAATAAACAATAATCAACAATAGAGTATATAACAACAATAAACACCATTGGCTGAAAACAACCAGTGCAATAAATTCACACTTTTATAAGCTGCCTAAAAGTTATACATCTGTCAAAGCCATGAAGATTTGAAATCACTTAACTTTCCCTCAATGCTTTCTTTCTTTTATGATCGAGTTTTAAGCAAAATGCGTTAACTTTTAAAGGCAACAGAGAGAACAGATATTTTCAATACAACAGATCTTAATTTCATCCCTTACAGTATTAAAAAGTTTGGCCTCCTTGCACACTCCTTAATTACATCCCCTGATAGCAGTTATCAAGCATGGACAAGACTGAGACTATCCAAGTCAGTTCACTTTATAAATGTCAGGGTAGACAGACCATAGGTACAAAGCTAGCTAACTCCAGGCTGTGTAAAAATCTCTGACACTTTCCTATTACTCATTTAATCTTTCAAGACAGCCTCCCTCATCTACTGTCTTATTTCCTTACAGATAAAGATTTCCAAGCATCAGTCTATTTCTTTTGATATATCTCACTTTCCATCAGCCCATGAAAAAATGCATCCTGTCTCTCCTCAGTCAAGCATTGCTCTCACCCCTTAGCAACCAATTTAATTTTCTGGCCCCTTGTATTGAAACAACATCCCTACTCATTCTTCCCCCCACACAGAGGAGAAATGCTAACCCCACAAAAGCAACTATCCAAATCATACCAGCCTCCAAGCGTAACATTCCTTCCACATGTCAGTCACAGTCTTCAGTCTGACGGCAGCCTGGAAAGCTGCATGCATATTTTTGACTCACATTTCAAGAATCCCTTACTGTCTCATTTAAATGCCATGGGACTTTAAAGCCCTGCATCTACCAGTTCCTGCTGGTGAGGGAATGATGCTCCTTATTCAGGATTATGCTTTACCATAATGCATTTTTGCTTTCCAGCTGCTGTGTTTCCTCAAATACATACACAAGGAGGGAAAGTGTACTTGCCTTTCCTCCTCCTACCTTCTCGCACTCCTGCATGCTTCTAACAATTTTTTTTCCCTTCTTCTTTCTTTGTTGGTTTGGGTTTTT